TCTGAGATTGTGCAGTGAGTAGTCCAGCTGGAAATAGCCCTCTCTCACCAAACCAGGCCTGCCTTTAGTCAAGCAGGATGCCTCAGAACACATCGTGATGGTTATGTCTTCATTGTGGAGGGGTTTCCTCCCTGTCCCATTCTTCTCTTTGTTTACAGTACATTTCCTTTCAGTAGACAAGGTTCTACTGAGACAATTCTCTCCCTCTGCCAAATGTTAGGTATAAGAGCTTTAATTGTTTTCACCTTACAAAATACTTAGATATATAATTTAAATATATATATATATTCCATAATCAGAGCTATTAAAATTATGCCATTATATAATTATATGGCTATTCTTTAGTAAAAAATGTCTAGGATTATTTTTTTAGGTAACACCCAGTTCCTATAAGATAGAGGGATGATGTGGAGCTGAGGCTGTGTCCATAGAGTGTCAGGTTTTGTGTTCATGGCCAGGCATACTTTTGAGAGTATAGGGTAGTAGAAAAAGGATGGAATTCAGATCCTAATTCTGCCACTGTTACCCTTAGGCAAGTTACTCAACCTCTCTCAGCTTGTGTTTTGACATCTCTAAAGTTAGAATAAAAATAGGTACTTAATGGAATTCTTCTGAAGAATAAATAGCATATATAAAGTGTCTTCATGCTTGTAACTCCATAAATGATTGCTGTTATTGTCTTTATAAGAGATATGCACCAATATCTTTCTGATATTTTTGTAGGATTTTTGAACAACTGGTGTATCTTTGCCTGGTCGTTGGTCTCATTCCGTCCTTATGCCTCAGAACATTCCTGTTCCACATACAAGTTTAAGCAGATGTGGAGCTGGTAAATGATATTGTTAGTGGTGATGTTAGACCCCAGTGCTTGAGTTCTGCAAAGAATGAATTCAGGGTCAAGAACTCTAGCACAAGAAGTTGACTAACCTTTTAGAAAGAAAGTCACAGAAGCAGAAGCAGTGAACCAGCTGGGCTGTGTGGACTTGGGAAACAAGTCACAGAGGCAAAAGAAGGGCCTTAGAGCTTAGGAGAAGGGAAGCAAAGATACATGCTGAGGGAAGGAGGCGGGTGGGGAAGGCCTGGGCACTGGTCCTTTGCCTTAAGGGTTTTTATGTGTTTTCCAAAAGGGGGGATTTTAGGAGAAGTCTCAAGGGAGGATCTCAAAAAAAATATTCATCAACTTTCCAGGTGGGTATTTTCAGGGTCATGGTCTCTACTGATTGGTTGGCACTAGGGTAGGGGGGTCACTAGTCATTGTATCTGGTCCTCATGTCAGTCATGGTGTTGCTTTGTCTGGTTTTGCTTCTTTTCTGGGCGGGGAGCTGAAACATAACTGAGGCCTAGATGTTATCTCTAGTTGGACCAAAATTCTGTCTCTGTTGTCAACCAGACCTGAGGCTTTTCAGAACCTTATTGTCCTGAGGGCTTGAGGCTTAAGGGAGTGGTCATGCAAGGGAGCAGGGGGCAG